CCCAAACCATTCTGTGATTCACTGTACCTCAGCCCAGTCTCTACCTCCCTGCCTGGATGAGCTGCTCTTCTCCCCAGGCTGCTGTCCTACCCCATCCATTTCTGCCACCAATTTCCCTTTCTGGTTGTTTCCCAGCCTGTCCCTACAGACCTCTCCCAATGTGCCTTCCCACCTCTAGCACCCCTTCAGAGAGGGACCTTTTCACAATTCTCCAGCCAGGAACAGCTGTCAATTCTGTGCTAGCAACAGTAGAGCTGTCCCTTCTTGGTTTTGCCCAGAAAGGCCCTCTTAGCTCTGTCCCTGTGGCAGGGAAATCCCATTTAGCTAAGGAATTATATCATGCTCACTGCAGATAAACTCATCTCGATTCAGCTGTTAAAAGATATTTTTACATCCCACCCACCAAGCTTTCAAGTGACATTTTACCAAATTTGGTTGTCTAGGGTAGCAAAAGTTATATCCTTGATAAAAACCCAACAAAAAGGTCTTCTGAAGAGCAGTTAGGGAGAGAGGCACTAGAGAAGAAGAGTCATCATCTTAACGTGAGCAGAACATGCCGCAGCTCTCCCCATCCCTTTCCTGGACAGCTCTCAGCTGCCTTGTTGACCTTTTCCAGAACAACCCTTCATCAGCCACACACCAATGCTGGGAACAGTCACCCTCGGCATGTCAGCATGGGCAGAAGCTAAACAGGTAGAAAAAGCTCCTGGTGGAAGCACCAGGCAGATCTTGCAGTGAATGTGCTGTCACCGCAACCTAAAATACATGTGCCGACATTCGTGGGCTTCACAAATGCCCTAGAATGGGAAAAAACCCTTGCTCGCTCCCAGTTTAGATGTTAACAAACCCTTAATTTCTCCATATGCAGGTCAGCCATCCCCAAGTTCTGGTTCACATCTCAACTTGGTTATTTCTTACGCTTTCACAAAACAACGGAATGTATCCGAGAGCTCTCCGCTGCCAGCGGGGTTAGCCCCTGCTCTCCCACTGCCACCCTTGCACCAGCCCTGGCTCAGCTGGATGGATTCAGGAATGAGAAGTGCTGTTTTATGTCACTAGGTCAGCAGAAAACAGACCCAGGAGAGAAAAAAACCCCAAAGCTTCCTTCTAACTTACTGGACTGACTCAGCTCACCAAGGCAAGTCATACAAGCACCAAAACCACCGCAAGGAAGCAGAAAAAGTAGAGTTTTTTCTTCCTTACAGCCTCACAACACAGGTACTTGCTGAACTGAGATCTTATCCCCACCAGTTCCTCTTTGAAATTCCAGGTATTATTTAAAACTGAAAGCGTCCTGTGGCTTGAAAGACGTGTCATGCCCACGGTGGCAAAGCTCTCCAGAAAAGTCTTTCTAAAGCAGCAGGATTCCACTGGCCTCACCATATACGAACCGGTAAATACCTCCAAGGCAGAGCATAAGCATCTCTGCAAAGCTGAGTATCCTCTATGTCGCAGTGTATTTCCTCATGACCCAGAAAGCTCTGTCACTCTTTTCCAGGCCTCTTAGCATAGCTGAAAGGATTTTTTATCAGGGCACACGTTTTACCTCTTCTCATCCCCACGCAGAGTTATTGCTGAGGAATCTCACTTTTTGACAGTATTATTTCCACCACCTTTCCACTTCCTCGCTGCCTACTGGCATCTACCATCTGTTACAGTACCCCAAGGAGACTCCAGGATGTGCTCGAGTTACTTGGCAAGAACCTCTTACTCACTTCTGCTTCTCCGCTTTGTATTGCTGCGTGCAGTCGTCAAAAAGCTTTTGGTTCATCTCCATGAACAGCTTGAGTGCATTATAGATCAGCCCATGGATTGTCCTGCAAAGAAACGAGGAAAGGAGAGCAAGTCACGGTGGTACCCTTCAGGTTCTCAGCCCTGAGTCAGCCCCAGCAGCACCGACCAGAGCCAACAGCAGCAGCAACTCGTACGCTACAGCGACGTGACAAAAGGTTTTCACGTGGTCCCAGCTCTTGGCATAGGAAAGCCCTCTCCGGAAACACAGCAGAGACTACGGCACGGGGGAGAAAGAGAAGGAAGAGAAGACTGCTGGGACAGGTCTGCTCTGACTGTGGCCTGACTAATGAGGGCAAAAACAGGCATTCAGGTGTTTACTACTTCTAGTCAGAAACCAGAAAGGAAGAATGCTGGGGACCTGCTCAGGGCTGTTCTCAGGGAGGCTTTACCTAGTCCAGCTTAGTGCCTCCCGCAGTTCACCTCACACACAATGACTTTTTCAGGCTGCCCAGTGTGTTCAGTCATGAGCTTTGTCACTGAGCTGCCCAAAACACATCCAACAGCCCCGCGGAGATGGGAACCGGCACAAGGACCACAGAAGAAAAACCACCTTCGTGTCAGCAATTTACGGACAGGTGGCACTGTGCGCGAGCTCTCCCTGCAACAAGGGCTCTCCCAGGGAATAAAAACAATTATTGAAGCCGTCTCCGAAATACGTGATCCAGAGGCAAAAGATGAGTCAGCAGACTGAGCTCTGTGCCCCCCCAGCTCTGCAGATGGAGTAAGGAAGAGAGCTACAGGATGTATGCACAAGTCCAGACAAGGCTGTCTGGCCAAGTGTTGGAGCAGACGAGCTACGGGGAGGAAGAGGAGAACCTGAGATACTCAGCCTGCACTGAGAAGATGTGTCTAGTGCTAAACCAAGGAGAAATAAGAGGAAAACACCCTTTAGGACTTCTTCTGCCATAGCACTGGGAAGGAGACAACATAGGAACAGCAGAACCCTGAATCTTGGCTGGTGGAAGAAGTAAACCGAGCTGAAGGGTTTCAGGCAAGAACATACAGTCCTTCTCTGAACTCTGATCAGGAGGGGCACTAACACTGAGTGAGAACATGTCTGCGTGCCTCTGCGCGCACGTGTGCGTGCATATGTGTGCCTGTCTGCCCACGCGTGTGCCTGGTTGGTGTGCAGGTGTGTGCATCTGCGTCTGCACACGCGCATGCCTGCGTGCATCTGGGTGTTTGTGTGTGTTGACGTCTGCGTGTCCGTGTCCACACCAGACTTTGGAGCAACCCTGGCTGGTGGCTCAAGTTCATGCTTCCCGATACAATGAAGAGAAGGAAGCAGCCAGACAGAAGACCAGTGGGGAGCTCTCTGCAAACAAGCCCCTCCTCACACCTCCATCTCAGCTACCACAGCATACTCCTAAGCCCTGGAGTCACCCAGCCTCCCTAGAATTGATTATTTTGCTTTTTTCCACCCCCTAGAATAGGGGAAAGTGGCTTTTTTTGACCATCTTGTGTTTTTTGCTGGAAAACTTGAGAATCTCAGCTGTGGACTGAGTACTTTTAGCTAGTTCATTAAAGGAAGTGAGTTTTACAACTTGAATTAACCAGGTAAGGAATTAAGTGAAGAAGGAGTCAGAAGAAAGGCGAGCAGGAAGTTGATGGGAGAACCATAAACCACACCGGTACAGAGCAATCAGACACAGCGGGCAATAATTTGACATCGAACATCTGCCTGGTTAGTTCTGCTTTCTCTGTCCTTCCTGTACTCAAGGAGTCAGGCACTGCGTTTGCCAAGGCCTGTGGTTGTGGAGAGTCATTATTTACCAAGCAGAAGTCATCTGGAAAACCCACCGCCCACCTCCAAGAGACCCGCCACGTTAGCGATACGCAGGTATCAAACTGTGTAGGTTCAACGGCGCCGAGGCAGGTCACCGCAGACACCTGACCCCTCGCAGAAGCAGGCCACCGTGGTCTGCTGTGGCACTCTTCCATGCTGATAGTACTAACAACCCCTCTGGCTCGGCGCCTGGTGTCACCGAGCACCACGTGTCAAGGCACGGTAGTGGCATGCCCCCAGATTGCCAGCTGGTCAAGCAGTCCTGTACACACAGCGAGTGCCAGGGCATGTGAAAAGACCTACTTGTTCCAGTGACTCTTGGAGTTCTTGTAGAGCGCCGGAAACATGATCGGGAGAATTTTGGCTGCGTTATCGCTGATCAGGCTCATGATATATTCGTTGTTCCAATAGTACAGTGCTCGCTCTGCCACCTGCAGCAGGAGAGAAAGCCGTCCTTAGAGAGGCTCCTTCCAGTAATACCTGCGGCACGCAGGGAAACTGTGCGGCGCTGAGACCGGAGCTCGCCACCAGCCAGCCGAGGAGCAGATGCTTCCCCACGGCAGCTTCGCCAGCATCTACAAGGCCATTCATCCCTGCTGCCCAGCCTTCTTTCCCTTAGCCTCTTACCAGGCACTTCCTGTTTTCCTAGGGAAGACCTCACGTTCTTGACTAGGCAGGTCTACCATCGGTATGCTGATGACTTCAACACCCTTTACCCAACACTCGAGGACAATAGTGTCATCCAGTCCAGGTCCCAGCTCCAAACCTCCTTCGTTTCCTCAGAGCAAAGCTCCATGCCTCCCATTCCTCTCCGGCCTTCCTCACAACAGTCTCTCTGGGCTTTGGAGCACACTTCAGTCACCAGGCCCACAATTCATCCCCCTAATTAATAAGGGTGAAAATATGTAAAATCTTAGGGCAGCCACCCTGCTCTAACAAGACAAACGAGTCTAACGAGTTTCCACATTGTGATAGATTCAACCACAGCTCTTCATATTTAACTACTATTTGGGCAACGCAGATCACCAGGCTAATTTCTGCAGTTAGCACTAGCTTGAGAGTGGCTTAAAAACCTGGGGAGAGAGACATCCAGTCTCAGTTTTGTATTTCAGGTGATGGAGAACTCACTATATCCACTTTATATAGCTCCACATGAGTAAACGAAGTGGAATTCGCTTCCAGCTATTCAATCTTGTTAAGGCTTTGTCTGCCAGATTAACACATAATCCACTCCAGGAAAACTCTTCCCCCACCAAGGTGCTCAGACTTCACAAGAAGTCAGCTCCTGGTTTTACTCTCAGACAAGCTGCAGACACAGAGAGAGTTCAGCCTGACTGTATGGGACAGCTCCGGGCTTAATTTTCTTCGTCTGTAAAGGATCTGCACCTTTTCCAGGTTTTTCAGTCTTGTTTTCCAAAGAGCTGGCAGCAGAGGGCTGCTATCAAGTACAGGATGCTTTTCCTCAGCCTTTACCCTACTTTATTCAAGATCCTTAGTTCCCTATATGGTAGCTCATTCCACACCCAAAGGTCATGTTAGTCCTTTGGTTCCCATCACCACACCAGTAATCCACGTCCAGCTGGTTTCCATCAGGCTCCCCTAGTCTTTTCCTGGAAACAGTGATCTTTTACATACACGTGACCTAAACTGACCTCATTTTTGGCCTGTAAACACATGACTTTGTACCTCTCCGTACCAAAAGACAGACTGAAGCCAGTCCACCTCCCTGTGTGGCCACACTTACTTGGGGGCGGGGGGTGCTATGTCACTATTTAACACCCCCACATACCTGGGTCAGCCACGTGTTTTCACAAGCAAGCTATCTCCTTCCTGGGCACTCTTCATGGCAACCTAAACCACCGAGCCAAGAACGCCTGCTAGGAGCTACTAGCATGTCCTACCACCCTGGACATTTTACACCTTAACACTACCAGCCAGAGAGATTGTTGTAGCCTGGTACTACAACCAGCTTCCCTTCAGTGGGAACACGGAAGAAGCACACCCTAGCACATTCTCAGTACTCCTCACTCTACCACCTGCACCAGAATAACACAAAGTACCTTTTCTGCACACCGTCTCTCTGGTTAGCCTCTCACCAGCACTGCAGACAGCCTGGGTTTACTGCCACGGGGTGACACTGCATGGATCTCCTCCGTGTCTGCTAGCTAAAACGGGAGGTGGCAGAGCACCTCTGCTCCAGCTCCAGCTTGTTATGACACGTGGTGCTCAATAGCACGGTGCAGCAGGAGAGGCTCTGCCAATCCACTCTGTCTTCTCTTTGGATGAGCCTGCTCTGTGGTTGTGGTGAAGATTCTCACCGCCTCCCACCACATGTCACCCCACTACTCACCCTGGTCACACCTCCACGTGCCACTGATTCACAAAGACAAGCCCAAAAGCTGTGGTGTCACCCTCACACACCAGGCGGGTCACAAAGCCAGTGCCCTATCCCCTCCCTGAGCTGCAGCCTACCTGGAAGTGTGGGCTGGAGACACACTTGGCCAACTGCCTGAACAAGGGCTCCATCACTTTCACAAACTCAGATGGCTCAATCACATCCAGGATCTCCTCCAGCTCGTTCAAAAACATCACCTCCTTGGGACTGTGAGTTTTCGGCCAGAACTTGAGCAAGCCCACGATCACCTGAGAGGAGAGGGTACAGGGACAGTGTTAGAGGCTACAAGTGAACACCAGCTGTGAAACAAATGTTGAAGGTCTAGTCACAACAGAAGCGGGGAGAAAACAGCAGAAAAGACTTTCTCAGAAAGTCAGGGTGGGTTAAGAAGGGAGAAAGAAGAGAAAAGCCCAAATTCTGCCAAGTTACACACCAGACAGCAGCACTGCCCAGGCTGCTACGATTCAGTGCTACAAGCACCAAGCTTAGAACCACCTTTTCACCCCAAACACAGCTTAACACAGAAGGCTCAAACCAGAGTGGGCAGCGGCTGGCAGATGGTGCAGAGCAACCGTGGGAGATCAATTAATAAAACTGGAAATGCTACGGAGAAGGTCATTGAGGAATCATTACTCAGTACGCTCCAGAGCATCCAATAAATAATGCGACGGATGGGTTTGGAACAAGCAGAAGGAAGTACTGTTACACAGAGAAGTAAGTACTGTTACACACAGAAGTAACTGCATTATGGAGCTCATTCCTGCAAGACTTTGTGGAGACTCGAAGTCCAAACAGGCTCCAGAAGGGAGTAGACAAGTTTATGGGGGTTACACCCAAGTGCGATAATTCAATATGACAATGCAGATGCAACTTCTGTCTGAGTAAACTATTGCTTTCAAGATACTGGGAGAACAGACTAGGGGAAGGGCTATATCTCACTTGATTTTATTTGTTTATTTGTAATATTGCTTCGTTCCTTACCCATCCACTTCTAGACACAGTCAAAGGCAGGATCCAAGATCCTGCAGACCTTCACTCTGCTGGAGCCACTGGTACAGCATTTACAGAAATGGGGACACTAGATACACACACAACCGGTGGCAGGAGTTGCTCTTTCAAGCTCGGTGTACTTTAGTAACCTGCCTGAAGCCAGCACTCGAGAGGAAGCTCACAGCAGCGGAGAGACAGCAGTGGGCAACGCAACAGCAAGACTAGAAACGTGTGAGCGTTCTGTTTCTACCAACTCAAGGCTTGCACAGCCAACAGTTTGGTATCCTCAGTGTTTGTCATTACTCAGGTCTGCCATTCAGGCAAGAGTCAGCTTCCGTGACTCAGATGTAATTTCTCCTTCAGCTAAGGAGGTGCGAGGCGTGGTGAGTCTGTCTTTGCTATTGCTGAGCACATCTGAGGCCCTGCTCACCTGGCAGTCATTCAGCCTGCTACTAACGCAAGAGCTGCCGTGTCAAGCCTGGCTGAGCAAGCTCCTGGGAGGTCCACTGAGCGAGTGTGGACCTAGTGAGTGACCTGGCCTCCTTCCAGCGCTGGTGGCAACATCCCCTAGTGCATTCAGAGCCTTGCTGATGCACAAGCCTGGTCATTCTTCAAGACTTCAATAACCCCAGTCATCTCGGGAATCTGTTCCAGACCTTCACAGGCAGGATGCTTCACTAGGACACCACCTGAGGCAACATGGCCTTGGTATGTCTGGTTCAGACCCAACGCAACATCAACGGAAGGTAATGGAATTGGGTCATCCCGCTGCTTTCCACAAGCACCCAACCAGACCTGGATCTCTAATCTGGGGGCCACTAACCTGTTACCCAGGAAGCAGTGACAAGCTACACAGCTTTACTGTTTGAATAAGCTTCAAAATGAATCCTGGAAATTCTTCCTGGAGAGGGTGGTGAAGCACTGGAGCTGGTTGCCCAGAGAAGCTGTGGATGCCCCATCCCTGGAAGTGTTCAAGGCCAGGCTGGATGAGGCTTTGAGCAACCTGGTCTAGTGGAAGGTGTCTCTGCCCATGGCAGGGGGTTGGAACTGGATGGTCTTTACGGTCCCTTCCAACCCAAACCATCCGATAATTGTATGAAATATTGACAGATTCCTATTTCTCCCTTCTCCCTCACCCTAGAGGAAGTGCTTTGTCAGGATGCTGTCAGGCTGGATGCCAGCCACGGGAAGTACTCTGCATGATCAGGAAGCTACTTTACACAGTTTGTTTCAGGGAAGGCTTTTGGGAACACAGGAAACGGAGGACCCACATTTAAAGGAAAAGCTGGGAGGTCTGCTTCAGCACTGCTGGTGCCAGGGCTGAGGAGTCGGAAAGCTGACAACAGCTGACCAGCTTCCACCAAGCACAATCAGGCTCACCACGAACGCACACATTTCAGCCAGAGAACAGAACGGCCTCAGCTAGCATTACTCATTGAAATGCTCACACTTTGTGGTGCTCCCTGCCACAGTGACACAAGCACGCGTTCTTTGGCCATCTGCTGTTTTGAGGCTGCGAAGCTCAGCTCCGTAGAAGACGTTTCCTGGCCTGCAGTGGGTGGAGAAATACTCGTCTCCTGCTTGTACCCTCTGTCATGCCGACACACAGCCTGGTTAACACTGTAGGGCTGCGCAGCCAGAAACCGGAACATGTGAGGTCCCTCATCTACACTGCTCACATGTTTTAGAGTCTGCTGTTTCCCAGCACTACATCCTGAAGGCAAATGTGCCTACAATGTGACTTAACACCATGGAGGTAGCAAACTGATGCTACGTCAGGAAGGAGAATACTTTCATCCAGGAACAGTGGCTTGCCTAAAGCAGACCTTTGTGTCTGAGGTTTCTAACCTCATCCCCACAGTTTTTCGAGACAACCCTGACAGTCTGGAGTGATTTCCTACTGTTTCAGGGCCCCCCAGCGAGCTCACACTAGTTCCATCAGATATCAGATGGCCATGTGTTTTGTCTCTGCAGCATCTGTCACTAGCTGAAAGCTCTGCCCAGAAGGGACAGCTTGGCACAGCGTTCCTTCTGCCACACCAAGATCTGAAAGCACAAAGGAAAACTAGAGCCCACCTTCCTGAAGCTTGGAGGAGAGAATGCTAAAGGCTTGCACATGAGCAGCACAGCCCCTTCTGCCCACAGGGTACCAGGCAAACCCAGTAAACAATCCAGCTGACTCCCAGCCTCTGTAGGCTTTTCTCACCCTTGCTGTACTCTAAGGAAGCCATGAAGCTTTTAAGGACTTGACTGACACACAGAGAGGTTAAGCAAGGGTGATCCCCCGCCCTCGCAACACG